TCACCTCTATAGAGGTGAATTAAAGGTGCTTAGAGGTGGCTCAGAGAGGTGCTGAAAAAAAGCTGGCGAGCATTTCAACACCTTGTAACTGTCATATATCGATCGTGAATCCAATGTAATTTTTTTTGCTGCATTTATGAAACTGTGTTTCTTCTTTAGAAAACGGTAGGGCGTTTTTTTTTAACCACCCTATATATTTCAGAAATTCAAAAATTGCATGGACGGTGACTTTCTCCACGGGGGCTTCGTTTAGACCTTCGGCGTAATGTGCGACGTGCAGACATCTGATACAGGACATCCTAATCGTGATCACACACTCTTAGAAAATTTCGAGCGTTTGGGGAGTAAAAAGTGAGCACACCGTGAGCTTTTCGAATTTACTCTCTTATTACTCACCAGATGCTCCCTCATCGCTCGTATTGAAGTGAACACCTTGAAGTTCTTCATCAGGCCACTAGATGGAGGTAAGGTGGGAGTAAAAAGTGAGCACACCGTGAGCTTTTCGAATTTACTCTCTAATTACTCACCAGATGCTCCCTCATCGCTCGTATTGAAGGGAACACCTTGAAGTTCTTCATCAGGCCACTAGATGGAGGTAAGGGTCTCGCTTATCGCACAGTACACAAAAGTTCCCTTCCCTCTTTCCCTGGAATCGTCCCTCACAGGATTGTTTAGTACCTCGACATATGTCTCGCCTGGTCTCATTATAGGAATGAATAAACACGGACACTTCATCGTTTCTTATCCACATATTCAAGAAATATTCATGGAGTCAAGGCCATAAACAAGCTCATATTTCTATTGAGAACCCTTTTGGAACACGCAAAATTTTATCCGCATAGGAGATCTAGAATATACAGAGAATGACCGTGAACATCATTCAGTCATACCTCAATTAAATGAGGTAATAAGGAACTAATATCTCGGACACTTTATGGAACCTATAAGAGGTCGTCCACCCTCTGACATGTGCCGTATTCAGTACAGGCAGAGGTAGGTCAAAGCCTCAACGAGAACGAAACGACACACAGTATATGAGATCTTTCATATTTGCATGACATCCCTATCACTTTCTAATGGGAGCGTTTTTACTCACAGAGGAGGAGAGCAATTTTACTCCTTGGTGATGGAGTAAATTAGCCCAGAGTGAAAGGGGGGTGAAACTGGAGTTAGCTCTTTTGCTCTCTTTTTTGGGAAAAATCGCTCCCCTTTTTCTAAGTATTGTACAGGAAGGTTTTACCCCTGCTGCATCGAAAAAGAAACAGCGCTGCGCACCTACTCTCCGAACTGCTACCAATATTTGGTCTGCTGATTCGCTGACGCTCAATGAGCGTCGCCATCATCTCATTTCTGTGGTTCCGCTCTTCAATCAACTCGTATTTCACTGCGTATTCAATGTTTCCGGCATCTGGAGGCACAAGCAATGGATCGGAGAGGATACAGTGAACGAGGATTATAACGTACAACCCGTGCAGCGCCATAGGCCACATGTACCGTACAGTGTGCCGTCAGCCATACATCAGTTCCTCTACCCGTCCACCTCAATGAGTCCCAATTCCTACGGCGCATCGCGAAATGTTGGAAAAACTACTCCACTCACTGTATGGAAGTTTCGATACGATTGCGCGCCGGGCATAGGCAGCACCAGTAGACGAAGGTGGTATAACTCCACATTTCTTGGAGGTACGAACACAATGCGTCCTATTTCTTCATCGCCATCCTGAAAGTGGTCAATTTGTAATGATTGGGCATGTCTTGATTAATTCATTGCGCGGGTCCGTTCGTTTTGTGCATTCAGAGAAAACCGAGCAGTGTTGTGTTTCTAGAACTTGCCCGATCCAATGCTTCCTCCTTTTGTCCTTCCTCAAAAATGATGGGTTGACCATCTGGCAAGTGAGAACAAGATGAAGAATGAATCGTTTTTTTCAGTCATGTCTGTGAGTAGGGCTACGGTTACACATTGTTTACAGGTAACAGTAGTCAAAACCTAATTAAATGTATTACCTTAAATTAAAATTCACTTACGTTAAATCCACATAACTGGACAAACGAGACCAAACACATCTGCACCAACAAGACCAAAGAACCAACTGAAGTAAAGCTTCACTTTCTGCTAGCAGGCTTTCAAGTCCTTGAGACTGGCACTCCATGATTCTCTGAATGCCATCCTCATCTGTCACAAAATATATTTAAATAAACTTCTCCCCCCACTGCTCGGAGGATTCCAACAAATATCCCCAGAGCGACTTAGAATTTTCATGTTTTGTTTATGCGTTTCTTTAAAAATCTGAAATCGAAAGTTTTATCTGAGATGCATACCTTGCCTTTTAGCCAGGTTTTCCTTTTCAAATAATGCTAGTTATCCTGCCCTCTCACCCAACTCTTAGCAGGGGTGATCCCCACCATGTGGAGATCACAGGGCTATTAAAAAAAAAAAAAAAAAAAAACGTAAGATTTTATCCGCATAGGAGATCTAGAATATACGGAGAATGTCCGAGAACTTCATTCAGTCACCTCTCAATTAAATGAGGAAATAAGGAACTGATATCTCGGGCACTCTATGCAACCATGAGAGGTCGTCCACCCTCTGATATGTGCTGTACGAGAACGGAACGACACCCGGTATATGAGTATATGAGAACTTTCATATTTGCATGACATCCCTATCACTTTCTAATGGGAGCGTTTGTACTCACGGAGGAGGAGAGCAATTTTACTCCTTGGTGATGGAGTAAATTCGCTCCTTTCCCAGAGTTTTTACTCACGGAGGAGGAGAACAATTTTACTCCTTCATGATGGAGTAAATTCGCTCCTTTCCCAGAGTGAAAGGGGGTGAAACTAGAGTTAGCTATTTTACTCTCTTTCTTGGGAAAAATCGCTCCCCTTTTTCTAAGAGTGCACACGGCTGATCCAGACATTTTGCGGAGGGGGAGAGAGGAAAGGGGTGGGGCTTGCCGAGCTAAGGCGTGAGGGGGTGCTGAGCCCCTTTCATGGAAGTACTTCATAAATTATCCAAAACTACCCCATTCCATTTCCCTCCCGTATATAGGCACTGTCATAACAAAAATTACATTCTTTCTTTTCCTTTGCAGTAGCCTGATTCGCTTTCCATTAATTCGCCTTCCATCCTTCCCGGCGTTCCTGGGCTAGGGCCCAAATCTTATATAGGACCCCAAATAAGGTAACATGTAAGCGTGATGCGATTTGCCCTTCACCAAAAAAGTCGTGCCTGATTTATCTAGGTTTGCTATGAACGGTCTCTTTTATCTCTGCAGCAAAGCTCCCTGAGCTCCAGGCGATCCAAGAAAGTGTTCCGTTTTCGAAGTTCCTTTTCCTGGGTCTATTTTTTAAATTCCTGCTTCCATTCTGACTTTTTTTTAAATCTTCCGATCACTATAGGGATGTTTCGACATGACTTTCACTCCCACTTCCGAAAGGATTTCCCTCTGTCTGTGGAGTAGTAGGGCAAGAGGGAGAGAGGCGAAGAGTTGTATGAAACGAGATGGAATGCATCGCGCTATTCTTCATCCATTTTTCCTCCTTCAAAGTCTCTTTTTTTAGTCGTCATTTACATAAAATCCGATTACAGTAATACGCTCGGGATGCGTTCCTGAAAAACCGAACGTATCGCAAATGAGCTTGTTGCAAAACAAACATGATGTAGCAGCGTAGGTCCGTAGCGAACGTATCCCGAGCGTGTTGCGAGATATTACTGTACTTCCTATCTCATTCTTGGGGTCTGAAAGACTTCTGGAAAGGGGATATCCTTATTATGGCTGAAGGGTTGGGGGGGGGGGGGTCAGGGCAGCAGAGCGGGGACGCCAAATCTCACCTGAGAGCTGTCAAGGGAGAAAATTATCTCCAAGGGGGTACCAGGCTCTGTCCCATGGGCCGCCTCCCTCTGTGTCCCTCCGTAAAATACGCCACTGCCTCGATTGTGGGAAACGTATGGCAGACAAGACGAGAATAAAGAACTTCTTTCGTTTCCTAAAATTTTGCATACAGAGAGGGCTTCATATTCCATCGGAAGCTTTCCTGCAACTTCGGTCAACAGGAATACTTTAGGTTGGTCTCCGGTTAATGAATTGACAGAAGTTGGGACCCTAAGTAAACTGAATGTGTTTCAATCTCGGACAGTGCTGTGTACTATGAGCATGAGGTGCGCGATTCTCGTCGAGATGTAGGTAACAAGCGCATGCAGGATGTTGGGACTTGCTGGTGAGCCAAATCCGCTTCTAACGGAAATAATTAGTTACACGCTGTTGCACGTGATTATGCGCTCACATAGGAGCCAAGAGAAACTGCAAACTCAAGCACCGAAATGGATCATACCTGGCAGGGACGGTGGGGGCGGGAGTAGTAAGTCCTTCTCAATGAGAAGTGCATAATACTGTCTATCTTCACTCATAACCGGCCGCATCAGAGTTTACAATTATTTTGTTCATCGTGCCCCCATCAAGCAGAACAGGACTACGCCCAATCCTGTCAGGGTGTCTCTGGGTCCCTCCTGTAAGTTTTTTCTGTAAGGAATTTGAATATATATTTTTATTGCATAAGTTAAACTAAATTAAATGACTGAAGACAAAATATCTTTTTTTCTTCAGCTCATTCCTGACAAGGAATGGTCATCCTGGAAAATGAAATGAGCCATACAGGCTACCGATTCAAAAGGATATTCCATGGAATATCCTTTTGAATCAGTAGCCTGTATAAGGCAATTGACTTTAGGCTTACTTGATACTTTACCTCAGGAACTCTATGGGATATTTCCTTGAGTGGCATAATAGCAATTAAACATGAAATTTAACCCCTTAACTGTGCCATTTCCACCACCCATTCCTATTCTTCGGTACAGATTGTGACGTAACATTACGCCCTACACAGTTAAGGGGTTAAGCTTTGAAAGCTCAATCCCCATTGAAAAAGCAAAAAATGTGCACAAAATATTAGACATGTTGCTGTGATGAAAAAAAGTGTTTCTCCACAAGAAAGCATGCTGCTTTAAAATCAGGTTTTTTTATTTCTGGAAGCAATTTGCACCATAAACCGACCGAAGGGGTTGGGTATCAGGGTACACCATGACATCAGCTGAGTGAATGATTGACATAAATACTCCAGTAGATCTTAGCACGATACATGAAAAAGATAAGACGAATGAGAACTTTCAAATTGGAAAACTCGAAGAAAAATCGGATATGGATATCACAAGTGACCATTTCACAGAATGACTGAAAAACACCTAAGCAATGTTATATGTATATTAGCTGAGTAGGTCATCTATATCAAATGAACTGAGCGCCGTTTGAGGCGGACTGGTACTGTTGGCAAGGGGGGCCATGGGAGGAAACTGGATTTGGTGCGTAACCGGCCCTGGACTGGGTCTTGGGGAGTAAAATGGCATCACCTGAGGCTGAGGAGCAGGGGTAATGCCCGGCACCCACGTGGGAGGAGGGGCATTCCCACCCAACGTCGAAGAGCTCCGGAACGGGGCCGAGGAGAAACCGGCCGGTGCCAAGGGTTGCTTATGCCCCATCATCACCAGATTGGAATGGATGAGTTGGGACGTGAGGTCCTTCGGTCCTTCCATCCTGTTCGCAATCGGAGACGGTTTCGGCTGTAACGGCTTCTCCATCTCCAATCGCCGTTGCTGCTCCTTCTCCTTGGCCAACCTGTCCACATAGAAGCAATGCGTAAGGAGTTTTAAGACCAGCTTTACTCTGACAATACATCACTCCAAAGAAGATCCTGAATTTGTTCCATTACTCCTTTATTTCTTGATGAACATTGGCCAATCTCGAGGGCATCTTATATTGGGTTTTGGGACTGCATGAGAAAATCATATTAAGATTTTTAAACCTGCCTTGGCGAAATTTAGTGGGACATTTGATGGCGTAATCGGAAACGAAAAAACGAAATCGGAAATTCAGAGCGCCATGAGATTTTGAGGGAAATTGGGGGACTGGGCCAAAGCATATTACATCATGTTGTGTACTGCTGCTTATTCAACGAGCACAAACAGCTCTATTAGGCATGTCATCAGAAACGACCCAAGGCCTGTTCGACCATCATAAGGTCATCAAAGTCGGTTGAGAAGAACGAAAGTGCAAGGCATCCTTCAGAAGATCAGAGAATTGCAAGCTCTCGTAAGACTCCGAACCTCTCATATTACGGCGTTCAAGTAATGGTTTCCTTCAACTGATGTTAAAGATCAGCCCCTACCTCGGGGTCACCCTAGACGAAGTTTTGCGCGCTAGAATACCTTGGAGGATCCTAACAGGCGGGACATTTTCCCTATTCCACGCACTCCAAATTTTTCAGCAGGTTGTAATTTAAAAAAAAGTATTCACTCCTTTCCATCCTGAAAGAGGGGGAAGCCAGTGTAGATGGATGGGAAGGGAAAAAAAATCTCTTCCGTGGCTTACATTGTCGCCTGCATCTTCAGCGTTTTTTTTTTCTCTGCTTCCATTTCGGCATTAATCCCTTCCCACGGGCGAAACAAATCTCTCCATGTATCATGGGGAAGGAGGGGAGATTTGTCGCTATTCAATCACCACGTCCGCGTTAATTGCGCGCTTCCCTTCTCAGTTTGCCGATGCATAGCGATGCCCGATAAAACCATCAATGCCACCTACTACCGATGCTGGCATTGACGCGTCGTTGCATCGTGACAGTTCTAAACGTACAATATAGAGTCCAAAAACATCAAAACCAAAGGGAGTTAAGAAAATCAATATCTTTGAATAATCGAGAAAATAGATAAAAAATTATTTCATTCTGATAGCGACCGATGGGAATCGCGATCGATATGATTCCCCCCCAGCAAAAGGCTAGCCTCGTCAAGCATTATTATTATTATGGGTGCAAATCTGAGCAAGCTCTGCATCGTTATACTGCATCTTCCCACGAAGTACGAGGGACGCTGGCATTTTTGGAGAACGAAAGGCGTCTGTCCTTCCCATCCTCTCAATTTTTCTGATTTAGCACCTCTGGCCTTCTCTCTCTTCTTCACTCTCAAGGAATGTCTGTTTGGGAGGGAGTCTAAGATATTCCAAGATCTTGGAAAAGCTGAACAGGAGATTTTACAGAACATAACACAAAGTACCTTTTCAACAGCTTTCGAAATTTGGCTTAAAGATTGGAGAAGTGTATCTATTAGGCGGTGAGTATGTCGAGGGACGATAATGAAGAATGTTTGGTTGTATTTGAAATGAAGGAGACTTTCTTCAACATGCGTTACTTTCTGAACATCCCTCGTATGTGACATAGAAGACGAAGGGATTTAGATGAATGTTAGCAGATGACATCTGAAGTGAGCGAAAAGCGGAACCGGCATGAAGAATGCTCTTCAGTGTGATTGCTGGCCTAGAGTTCGATTACCACTTACTATTAACGCGTACATGTCTTCCTCTTCCCCCCCCCCCCCTCCCCACCCCTTTACGGCGCGTAGAGGGAGGGGGGATGGGGTGGAGGGCATCGGCATCAGCAGTGCGAAAAACCTGCAGATGGGGGCGAAGGTGCACACGATGCCATATCCGCGGTCGTAGCCAGTGGTCGCCTAAGAATCGGTACTGATATTATTTTAACTTTTGATCATAAGAGCTAAACCCACTGCACCTGTATTTAATCACTCAGGTTCGGAGCCCATGCCTAAGGACGTAAAGGACGTAAATATATCAAACCAACACTGATATGAACACTGTAAGGTCTTGGGATTAGCACTGGCTATTGGCACTCTAATTCCAAATACAAATGGGGAAAATAATTGAGGCTTTCAAAACAAAAGCGAGAGAGACTTACCGCTGTTTGTCAGCGAGTGAGAGTCCGGCTGACGGCGGAATGCCGGGAGAGGCAGAGACGGATGACGTCTTTGACGCACTCCCCATTTCTGCAGCTTTGGCTACGGTGGAGTCCTGGAATGAGGCCAAGCCCAAGCTCTGGTATAGGGCCTCTGTTGCAGATGTAGACCCTAGATTCTCCCTCGGCAGACCTCCAATCAGCTCATCCTTCTTAGGTGCTGACAACGTCGTTTCCAACGCATTCCTAAATATGTTGGTATTCATAACTTTGCGTAAAAATATATCATCTGCAATTTCATATTAAGTGACCAAATTAATCGAGTATATTTATCAACACAGCATTTTTTACTTTAAATGAGATTAAACGGCTTCTTTCGTAATTAAAAAAAAAAAACAAACAGTAACGCTTGTGAAGAGAGACAGGGCGGGCATATTCACCTGCCTCTTGACAACCCGGGGCATGTGCCCATACACAACCCTTCCTGTCTCTCTCCCCGAGACTCCCATCCCTGCACTTCCCACCTCTTTGGTGGTCACATGACTGATTAATCGATTTCATACATCCCTGACTCATAGCTGCTTTCATCCCTTCTGAAAGCGGGCTTCTCCTTATCCTGCCGAGTCGATGAGCTCAAGCATCATCACTTAGCATCACGTAAGTAAATGAGGCACAAATCCGGACTTCGGCATTAAACATAAAAAACGGGTCGAGACTAAAAACAATTGTAAAGGGTTTTCTGACATTTCTTTCTTTTGATGTTTTTAAAAAAAATATACAATATCTGGAGAGTAGAAGGGAAAATTAAGCAAACCGCTTGAAGTCATTTGAGAGGATTGCTATTTAAACAAATTCTCTCCTAACAGGAAGCAAGATACATAACAATATAAAACAAAAGAAGGCTAACTTTTGCTCATCCTTGATGGTCTGGAGCTGTTCGATCTTGGCCCTCTGGTCGGTTTCGATGCGCACGAACATGTCCTTGACCAGGGTCATGAGAGCATTGAACTGGTTCAACGTGAGTCCATTCTCGATGCAAAGGGGTAAGAGGAATGGGAGAACCTTCGTGGCCAAGATTTCCTTTGTGATCCCCAACTTTTTGTGTTCCACGGTCAACTTATAGATCCCTACGTTGGAATGTGTTCGTTTTTAAAATGGAACAAAAAAAGAGACAAAATGAGCAATAAAGACCCTGACCCACGATGCCCATTATTACAGCTGGTTCTCGAGATGGGATCTGAGGAAGGAGAGGGAGAACATCGTCCAACACTAACCACTTGTCCAGATGATCTAACAGTTTCCCCAAACACACCAGGCAGTTCACTCGAACCTGTAAAAATTAAACACAGTATCACACAGTTCTTGAACCCATTCTACACCCTTCCTTTTTTACTGTCGCTGCAGGTAATTAAGGGATCCAATTGAATCTGTATCTGAAAAAGAAATTTTCTTTGCAACTTTCGAACAGAGGTGAAAATGGCAAAGCAAGTTTTCAGCTCTGGTTTTGAGCATTCATACTATGAAGAATGCGGACTCAATCAAGGAGAACATTGCATAGAGAACCATCTGGAAGCCAAAGGAGGGATTTCGTTTACAGTTAGGGAACATATGAGAAGAATCTTAACCCTTTCAGGGCTGAGTTACGAAATATGCCAAAAAAAATGCATATCGAAATCATAGGGTAGTTATGGTTTATACAATGAGATAATAAAAGAAATTTCCAAATCTATTTATTAATTTAAAAAATGCAGACATGATGCCATATGGCATCATCTGCCTTAATCGGTCCTTATTTGGTCTAAAAGTTGCTACAAAGAAACTCCTTCAATCATTATTTACTCACAGATATTTTCTCAACCGATCATATTTCAAAAAACAAAACCAAACAATGAATCACAAAATATGTAAGTATTTTGTGATTCTCAGTTCATCAGATGTTGCCACAATCACTTTCACAGATATGTGTGTACTCTCAACTAGTCAAACCACTTCAATGAACATACACATTCGAAAGAGCACTTCAAACGCTATCTGTTAACTACACTACACTAGTGAGGAAAATTTTATACATTCTCTTCACTAGATGATTTTTGGGGCATTTTAAAAATAATAATGCCATTTGGCATCATACCCCTAGAAAGGGTTAAGTCTGAGTTCTTTAGATCTCCCAGAGATGGCACCAAGGTAAACTGATTATATGCATAAAAACATTGCAAACAAAAAGTTAATTGAACTGATAGATTTAGGATCTTGGTCAATCTGTATGGTTAGAAGAATTGGAAACCGTTATGAAAGAGGGCAAGGACAAATAATAAGAGAGAGATGTGTGTAAATAGTGAAGTACAACCAGTGAAGTGCTTGCATGAAGGAAGATGACACTGTAGGCCCCCTGACTGAAGGAAGAACTGCCCTTGACTGAAAAAGAGTTGAACGACTGTGCACGTAAACTCCTAACCAACTTACCTTACATTAACACCACCTCTCTAAAAAAAAAAGCCCAAAGGCATCCAATCTTGCCTCTGTCTTTTTGCATTTCCCCTGGCAACATGTAAACCCACTGACTTCTAGCTCTGGCAAAGCAAGTTATACTGGCAATTCTTGACGGATATCTAAGGGCTCTCATCTGAGTCCCCCATATCCCCTCAACATCTTGCACTGATCAGTAGACCCAAGCTCCTAAGCTACAGTTGTACCTTATTGACTTCATCCCCTTCTAACTCGTCAACCTCCAACTCTAACACTGGTCCAGAACTACTCATTGAGTAGGTAGTGACTTCAAACTTCAGGCTCCAGCGACACCTGTGACTGTTTTTTGTAAGGAGACCAGAATTAAAAGGAAATATATAAATTATGTGAACTCTTTCATGAACTTTTCTGAACTCCTACATCCAACCCACTGTGTCCTACCAAGGTACTAGGTACTAAGAAAGTATCACCATAGAAAGTGATATAGAGGCCCCAAATCCACCTACTTTAAAAGAGGTTAAATGAGCAGCTTGACCCCGAAACAATGTTGAATGAGAAGCCAGCAATGCAAAAAAAAGATGTTGTTTAGGGAACAGAAGTTTCAAAATCTCATATTAAAGGGAGTAGTATCTATCACCAGAAATGAAAATCATTCCCAGCAGAGTCTCAAAGCATTGAGGATCTCACACTTCCCAGCCAATTCGACATCACGAATGATGGCAGTCGCTTCCTCCTCTTAGATATGGATATGGGACACGATCGCCTTCTTATCTTCACCAGAGACAACTCTATTTGACATTTGTCAGGAGCCAAGATTTTGATAATTGATGGAACTTTCAAGACAGCTCCTTGGCATTTTTCACAGTCCTGGGGTAGCAAGCAGAAGCTGCCTGTTCCATTGAGTCAGACCATCTGGCAGCATATCCACCAAGAGGGTTTTAAAAAGTTGTAGCAAGCAATCCTGACTTCTGCCTATTAATAAGGAAGGTTCCAGTTATAGGAAATCCTTCCACTGCCAGAAATTCCTGATGCTTAGAATGCCTTAAAGCAATAACTCCAAGCAGTGCACAGAGCCATTAGTGGACTCATTTCCTGGTTCAATGCAACTTACGCTTGCAGAAAGCTCAAAAGTGTTTAGAAACAGACCTGAAGTAAGAATTATCCCAACATTTTCTCCAAATATGAGGTCGATTCATGATCAAACTCATTCTGGTGCACCAAGATCCAATAATGCTTTTGAAGCTTGGAACAGGAGTTTTAAAACATCACTGAAAACAGCACATTTTGGTGTTTTCCACTTCATAACATAAATTTTAAAAGGAACAAGAAACAATAAAACAGGAAATGGAGGATCGTAGGATGGAGTCTTAGCTGTTTCTTGTTCCAAGCACACCAAACTATTAATTACCAACATTATGCCATAAGACACCCAGTCTACCATCAGTGTCATCTCTCCATAGAACATTTGGATGAGGAACACAGAATCTGGATGGTTTTCAAAGGCTTTATATTTTACTTTTTGAAAAACGTGTACGGAATGATTGATGGAACTTCAATTCTTGAGAGTGATATCAATATGGTATAGAAAACAAGTTCCCCCAAAAGAATGATGGTTTCATACATGCATATTGAATAATATGCCTATAAGAAATCACCCTTCATTCTTCATTATTAATCAGTATGAAAACCAAGAATAAGAAGTCAAGGATACCGATAGAAGGCTGGCATTGATGCAGAGCTTCTTGATTCGGGGGAGGAGCGCATTCTTCATGGATGGGTAATCAACAAGGGATGCAAATGTGGGGATGATCGCAAGGCTCAGGTCCAGAATCTGCGGTGAATCACACTCCAGAGAGTGGTAGACAAGTGGTAGGACATCACTCTTCACATCTGAGGGAGGTGTCTTTGATAGAAGCAACTCCATTCTTTGTAAAAGCAGGAGCAGTATCTGCAGAAAGGGCCATATGCAAAAAGCAGTTTCATATGAATAAATTCTGCAAAATATGAGACTGCAAAATATGAGCCATTGGACTACATTTTAAGGGTACCACCTGGATCGGCTCCTTGATCTTCATAACTGGTTTCAAATGAGGGAGGATATATTGAACGAATTCCTCTTTGTTAGCATTCTCAGCCACCATGAGAACACTGCCAAGGACAAATGGGATCATTGGGGGATTCACAAACTCCTTCACCAGGCAAGGTACCACTCTGTGAAAAGAAAAACATTCTTCATATTAGACACAATCTCTCATAGTTGAAAGGCTTTTTCACAAATAGAATTCAAGGCATTTGACCTGTGAAGATTGACCCGATGTGGTAGATTGTTCAAGATCTGGGGGAGACCTTTGTAAAACTGGGATTTTTGCAGGTTATCCCACTGGTAGAGGGCATCTAAGTAACTTAATGTCTTCACAAGTACATCCTCAAAGTAGCTCACCTGAAGATGGAAATAAGGTTAAGATTCTATGCTTGGGGGTTTTTCAAAACAAATCTTCCAGAATAATTTTTTTTTAAAGTGAGCATAAGCAAACCTTGATTAGTTGATGAGCATCAGGACGGAGATGAGATGTGGGGTTCAGCAGCATTTTCACTTGCTCTCTTAGGTCAGATGGAATGCATTCCAAATCACGTAAAGACAGTGAATCAAGCTGTGAAGCCACAGAGACAAAAGTGTCATTCCACTCCATTTAATTTTAAGTCAAATTTATTTGCTATTGCCAAACGAATATACAAAAAAAGCCCTCTGAAAAAATGCCTAAGGAATTAATCCCCACAGAAAAAACGCCCATACCTGCAAAGTATGAAAAAATGCCCACTTGAATATTTTTGTTTTTTATTTTCTTCATTCTGCAAAAAAAAATTCATATTATTGATTGCATAGCTAGAAGAGTAAAAATTTAAATACATAAATTGGTGGCACTAAAATTGTTTTTGCAAAGTGGAACTTTCAATAGCTCTCTTAATTTATCTCATAACGATTAGTATGCCCCACTCTGCAAAACAATTCCTGATAGTGCTTTACGTGGGTTTAGGAAAAAAAACCACTCCCTTCTGGCTTTTTTCCTAAACCCATGTAGAGCACTATAACTTTTCGTCCGCCTTTCTGGTTCGTAATGAACTCCATGGTTACTTGAAGTGAAAGGAATAAGTATTATCGAAACACCGTATTTATATATCATCCGTCTGTACTTCGAACAATGGCATCTTCTCCTCCCATACTTCACAGGAGGCACAAGGAGATTGTCAATCAAGAGTCGGTCTTAAGCACTACTTTTCTCTAGAAGATTTTCTCACATGATCCTCTGAATGGAGCTTTATCTTTCAGCTTCCTCAGGATCAATATGCCCCTACCTCTGAAATAACTGCAGACGATCGGACATTCTCATGTCAAACATCGCATGTCAAACTTCAATTACCCCATTGCTATCGGAAAGAGTCCAAAGGATGGGCGAAATAGCAACATAATCCCACACACCAGATCTTATCTCAAATGACTTTTTCCCCATGTTTTCCTTTGCATTCCCAGAAACAATCCTCCTTTCATTGATCCAGCATTGTAACATTCTGGAATGTAAATCTTGGGAATGTATGCTTTCATATTCATGTTTTAATACGTTAATACATGGGATATATTTAATGTATAAATAATGTTTTGAAAATATAATGCATTTGTTTTTACAAGAAAAAAAGAAGCTGCAAGAGATACTTGGAAATATTATGTAAGTGGGCAAATTTCGTACTTCACAGTTATGGACGTTTTTACTGTGGGCATTTTTTCAGTGGGTGTTTTTTCGGGGCACCTGCCAAACACATGCCAGGAATTGTTCAGATTAAAGGCAAGAGGAGAATTCCAAGAAGGAACGTCCAATTACAAGACGGTCAATGTTGGCTTGTCAGATAAGCTTGCTCTGCTCTGGTCTTTCTTTCTTATAGGCTTTTAAAAGAAACTATTTCAATAGCGGGCCTGTACTACATAAAGTGCCACATTGCTTTCACCTGAAAGACCCTCGATGGTATCTTATGTAAAACCTTTGATCACAAATATTGTTTTTGAAGCCTGAGGGATCTGCAACCCACCTCGTAAGCATGACGCCTGAAGCTCTCCCAAGAGCCATTGTTCTGGAAGAGGGATTTCTTATGTGAGAAGAGGATGAAGATCAAGGAACCAAGGGAGAAGAGGTCACTCCCAGTGTCCACATGTTGCGTGAGTACATATTCAGGGGCAAGGAAATCCAGGTTCGGCTGGGCCTCTCCTGGGAGCCCAGCATCATACTCTTGGAATGGCCAGAATGGCTGCCATGCAAATATGCCACATCAAACAACTCAAGGTCAAATGCATATTGACTCAACAGTGGTTAACCTCTCAAGCAAGTTCCACATACAATACAATGTATTTTGCACTTAGGATCTTGACTCTTTGACGGTGACGATTTTGTGAGGTTTAAAAAGCTTTTTATGTCTCTCCATAGGTAGTGAGGCAACAAGCGAGGCTGATCTACAAATAAAAAAGACTCTTGGAGTCACCTGTGAGGTTTCTGTGTTCTGATTAGGCGTGCAAAAGTCGAAGCCAGCGATCTTCCAGGCCCCGGACGAATTGATGAGGATGGATTCAGGGCAGATATTCCGGTGTAACATCTTCACATCGCCATGGAGGAATGCAAGACCTTCACAAAGTTGAAGAATGCCATACTTGATCTCCACCTCAAACAAGCTGTAGTTGCACAGCGTGGGCGGCAAGGGCGAAGGCATGTTTTCGTGTGACCCGAGTACATTTGCAAGACTGGCTAACACTGGCTCTGTGGCGAATGCTATGCTATCCCTGAAATGAAACCATAACAACTCTGCAAATATAGTCTAAAATTTTACCAGGCTGGCAAAATTTGTCTTCTCCCTTCCCACCTACGACCAAAAAGTAGCTTCTGCGCAATTAGCCTACACAAAGACGCGCCAAGAGTACTCCTATTCCGATAGGCAAGGCTGAGGGAATGGAAACTCGCACAAGGGGGAGGGGAGCACCATTGCCCATTGCTTTTACTTCCCGAATCGTTAAAAAGTTCTCGTCAGTGGAAAGTTTAAAGGCGTATCAGTCGACTTGCCATTGGCCATAGCACATCTTTGGCACTGAGACCCAAGGGCAGACTGAATGAACCAAGGTTTAAACGATCTAGGGAACGGACTTCGAACATTTGAACATGGAACATCGTAACACTAGGAGGAACGCACACGGAACTAAAGACTGACTTCAAAAGTTGCAGAAGTTAAAATTTGCAGATATAGGGTGACATGCACCAGATTTGTTTAAATTTAAACTGATTTGTTTTCATAATGGGCGTCTATGGAAATAAATTTATCTCGGTTAAACTGATTGGTGCATGTCACCCATCGGGTGACATGCACCAATTGAGGAATCAGATTAGTTTAAAGACGAGATGAACACGTTTACTAAAACATGTTTAAGAATGTGTTTATCTTTGACATGCATCACCGAAAATCGTATTAGTTTCCATGAACACGTTTATCCACGATTTAAACACGTTTAACCCTCCGTTAGTCTTCCGGAGTCGAATGAGCCCCACACGAAATTGAAAACGACTTCACCGATAAGTGGGAGGACTAACGGAGGGTTAAAGGCGGTGTGGTTGCATTTGGAAAGAGAATGATGAGTATTGTGCCGGCTGCTGTTCCATTGTTCGCATCAAGTCGGCGACGGTGTCCGCGGAAAGACGAAACCTTCTTCGGAATTCGTCTCCATGGAACCATTCAATAGGATTGAGCCGATCCCTGATATTCCTCCTAGCAGTTTGCTTCAGGATCACGTCACAAACTTCTATCTCTTCATTAGTTTCCATTTCCACCGCCGCTAGATGATTAGAGGCAAGAACAAGGTGTGCAAGCCCAGTCCAGTAGTGGGCCTTCTTTCATTTAACCGCTTCCGTGATTTGCCAGTCCTTAATGCGGACAACGTTGTCCTTCCCAAAACTGACTTGCCCGCATGAGACACGGGCGATCAGTGCTTCGTTATTTCGTTTTTGATTTGCCCGAAATAAATGAGTAAAATATGTTACACATACATATTTTGTTCAAATAAAGTCTATAGAATCAAAATCTACAAGAAAAAATTTGTGGTTCAATTCATTGAAAGAAGAAAAGGTAAGAGGCAGGGGTGTCAAAAATATGCCCCGTGAATGTGGTTCATCCGGCCCGCCGTCTATTCTTGAAATTTCCGCTTGGATAGTGTCAGCACAAATTTCAATGAAAAAAGTATGGGTGCGGCCCATAGGCATCTGCAGGGTAAGGAATGCCAACCGATTTGAGTTTGACACCCCTGATTTAAGGTGACCCTCATTTTGTCACCTACTTGAACAAAATGCCATCTCTTTGCGGCCCTCGACCATCAAAAATCTCATTTCTTAGTTATATTTGGCAAATCTACCCATGGTGCTCATGAAATGATGGGAGGATGGAGGGCTGTTCGTGGTTCGACCCATCTGCCACGAGGGCTAGTGGAGAAGGTCAGGTCAATACTTTCTTAGTTATCGTCGGACAACCAGTGTGACACACGGACACAGACGGACAGGACGGGAACTAAGTGGTTACTTTCCTTTCAGGAAAGGAGGCCCATTCCGGCAAAATAGCATGCTGTTTCTCCACCTCTGAGAATCCATTTAGGGAGTTAAATTTGCTATGGAACAAGTTTATCTTGGAAGATTAGTTTAAGAGAGAACTGTTTCATTTGGTGCATGTCACAAATCAGTTTAACGATGAGTCAACTGATTCTTAAATATATTCGCCTGGAATCAGATCAGTTTAGCTCCTAAACCGATGTGGTGCATGTCAACCATAGTTGGGATTTCGTAGCGAGAGAAGTCGTATGAGCACAGAGGAACTTCAGTCAGACTTAAGTCTGAAGACCACGTCGTCGTGGCTCAGTGGAAAGGGAAGCTAGCGAGCAGGAAGTCTAGGTTCGAATTCGACTGGTACTCTTCAACCTTCGGGTAATACCTGCTCTCCCTTGAGCTCCAGCATTGGCCACACTGTGGTCCATTGTGAGAGGTAGAATTTCAAAACGCCTCAATATCAGCTGCCACATCTGCCCTGGCGGTCCTGACGTACAGACCAGAGCGGCATTGAAGTTGCCATCATCTTCGGGCCAGTGAAAATGGGATATATTGTGATAGGAAGCGTGGGAAGGTGTGGTCTAGTCGCCAGGGTGTGGTACGTCCGATAAGGATTCCCTTTCGCCTACTAAGCGCTCATCTTGTGGCATTCGTCCCGGTCTGTCCGTCCCAGTCTACGTCTAAAAAATAAATCTGAAGTAGAACTAACATCGGACTGTAACTGAAATGCCGTTTTGAAATCAAGATGGCGACTCGGCTCTGGGGCGGTAATTTCCCAAGATCACAATAAAATGTTAGAGCTGCTCATCAAATACGTCATACCCTAATACGTCATACCTCGCATATGTCAACTCATGCTGTGCACATCATAGATCCAAATGCTATATTGAGAAGCACGTGTGTACTGTCCCCTTTAAACTTATCTTGCAGACACAAACATCTCCCTAACTTTTCGCTCGAACTACCTAAGTATATTTGTTGCCCAATGTTGTCCGTAGACTAAGAGTTGAGCAACCCAACCTAAGAACAAAATGCAATTCCTCTTGAAATCAACCAATTACTCTCTAAAAAAAACATGAGATTGAGTACTGAGATATCATAATAACTTATACCGTGCCGTATTACTGAACATATTTTACGAATATGAGCCACGAAAAATTAGAAAGTAGGTAAAAAAAAACTAGTGATGTACCGTTTCAGTCGGATACCCGATATCCTGCGGCGCGTATCCGGATAGTTGGCTTTAAAAAAATATATAAATAACCCATCAACTATTTCTTGAGTGACTTTCTCGACCAACATTACACCAGGATCGAATCTGGCGAAGTGATCGGATAGGCAGGATACCGGATAGTACCCAGGTATCATACATCATTTTTTTAAAGAAAATGAACACGGTATGTAGATTATCAGCACAAAAATAGGTGTACGTTTCACTGCTTAATATTCAGCGGTTGAGCACTACCATATACGGTACGGTAGCACACATCTCGGTATCAAGCATCATGGGTTAAAGAAACCTCACCTCGTGTGTACTGACATAAAAAGCAAAATACTATTTTTTTTTTACTTTTTCACTGGTTGCCCCAGACTCTCACAGGAACACTACTGGTTCCATTTTCTTTTCTTCTGTCTTCAGGTGAATGATGGCTAAGCATTTTAACGAAAGTAATTAAAATGAATCAGGAAGAAAGAATACAAGTTGTTTCATGGATGAAGGTGCATGAGTGTCCCATTCAAGTGCGAATTTTTCAGGACATTGTCGGTTTTTCTGGCAGGGACGTCATTTGGTAAAACTCCAAGGGGGGAACAAAGAAGCTATGCCACTTGAAAAAACACAGTTCAGCCTGAAATGTTATCGTCTGCTTCAATTTCGCGAATTTTACGAGGTACAGTCAATCGCGAAATTGAATCACTCGTAAATTTTTTCTCGTATGGGCTAATGGCCAAAACATAAGGAGTGGTCCAGTTCGTGAAACTCAAATTTCGCGAAATTAAAAAAAAAGAAACAGATTTTAGGATTTAACGATATTAAATCGACACCAGAAATCCCACCCGCGTTGTCATGTAAAGTTGGCTGCAAGAAGAATTATATTTCATCAGATGAAACTACAACCATGGTTGCCACTGGGCAGAAGAAAATCTCTCAAATGAGAATTCAAGAGGCGTAAACCAGATTGGCAGAAGTTCTCTGGCTTAGGCAAACCATTTTAACGCCCACGAAATTGATTAGATTTACCGCAACAGTGGAGAGCCAGGAACTTTCAATTTTTGCGAATTCGTCGACAAATTTATTCCATGTTCGCTTTCGGTGTGGTCAATGGCAGACGACTCTACCTTTTTTTTTTTACTCTCTTCGTGGTGGATAAGAATCTCTCGGCTCAGGTAGTTGTTAAAGAGTTAAAACAGGGTCGATTAGCTTCAAGTTTCGAGAGCGCATCTCTTGAGTTCATGAATGCTCTGAGATTTAATGAAAGAAAAAAAACAGGAGCCATGCTGCATGAGAGCTCTAAAGGCAGTCTTTTCAGGCTATCACACTATAGGGAATAAAGGAGGCTATTTAATAATCGCTCCAAGCCACAAGAGGGACAACTGCCTCCCCTAGCCCTCCTGAAATGACGTCCCTGCTTTCTGGAGATTCCTTCTTTTCCATGAAACGGGAAGTGCACTGGATCACCCTCGTTCTGCATGACCTTAAGTACCTCAACAACATCGGTATACCACTGGCTATTACTTGTGGTGTCCTTTGAAGCACATTTGAAGTACATTCAAGCTCATTGAAGAGCACATAATGAAATCGCAATGTAGTGCACTTCCCAATTTGTGGAGCTTCTCAGAGTTGTCTGATTGTCAATCTTGCTGGGGATTCCATGGATTCCATACAAATACGAGTCCCTTAAAGCCATTGCACTTGTGTTGAGCATTCATGCGCATCCATCCAAGAAGCAACTTTAGTTCCTTCCAATTAGGGTACAGCATTTCAATCACTTTCATCAAAGTGCTCAGTCACAACTCACCTGCAAATGGAAGAAATGAGAGCAAAATCAGAGGAGTTCCTGGGAGATGTAAGGTCAAAATCTGCAAAAAAGTGAAATGAAAGTACAGTAAGTGGTTTCATGTTGATGCTGTTACAAAGAAACAAGTGACTGAAAAAAAAATCCGCCTTTCAACTGCCATCAAGCAAAATGTCAATTTGCAGCAGTTAAGCCCTATGAAACATACATTTTTAGTAACAAACTTCGTGTCCATCATGCACATTAGTCAGAATTCAATATTACTGCATCTATGAGTCGATTTCTTGCACTTCTAGGTGCTACATTTTGCTAAATTGGTGGACAGACCTTGATTCTTCTAGGGGATGTTGGACGACGAGAATATTTGGATGACGAAGGCGAGTAAGCTGATGAACACCCTTCTTGAGCGTTTCTAGAATGATCTCTCGGTCTCTCCGATTGGGGAACCTCTCCAACTGCTTCTTCTCAAACACAAATACAGAAGCTGCCTGTTTTGTTGATTTCTTCACCCCTTCATACACCTTCCACATGAGGCCTTGATAAATAGATTTAGAATTCAAATCCTTGAAATGGCTCATGTTAATTTCCTTATGCACTTGATTTACATTTCAACTCTCACCAGGTCCTGCGCTGGCAATGTGACGAGTTACTTCATACTCCCTGGTGACAGGGTTGCCAGGTAGGACGCTTGAAACTTGGGAAACAGCCGAGGTCACACCTCGGCTCACAGTGTCTCGTAACTTGCTCAGGACTTCCATGGTTGTGTCACTGATTGACATATCAGAGTGTGCTCCACTCCCATACTGCTTGTAACTACATTGATGGAAACAACATAAGGAAATAAACATAGTAGCCTTGGTCAAGGACTCAGCCTTGATTAACACTATGCTTTATCATATGGATATGTTTATGGCCTCATGTCAAGAAGTGGGCATGCCATGAAGTAGCTGAACTTGTATGATATTTTTTTACTTTTCCTCCTTTCACAGGAAAACTTGACTCAAATGTTTAACAAAGCTCTCTTTATCACCACCTTTGACCTAGTTTTCTTGCCTAGGCAGGACACATTAATCTGAAGTATTAGCTGAGGACTTCCAGTAATACTTTTGTACTAAGAAAGTAATAATAATTTCTTTAGAATAAGTTATAAAAGATAAAACCATGGAATGGCTTACAGATTTGAAATATATTGTTTCATATACTGTATATACAGTATACATAGTGGAAAGTCCTCAGCCAATATCTCAGATTAATGTGACCTGCCCACAGACAAGAAAACTAAGTCAAAGATAGTGAAAAAGAGAGCTTTAATACTTTCACTCTGGAGGGTTGGTGATGGAGGTTATTTTGAAGTCTACCAGGAAATACATAACTTCAAAACATAAAATGATAGACTTGCTCTTTTTTGGAAACTGAATTGTAAGTTATAGTAGATAACCACCACCCCTTAGTGGGTAACTTCAACAGTTGACTTCAAAGCAGGTACTTCCAGGCCAAGAAAGAACTTCCTCACTTCCCAATATGAGACACCTTAAATTAGTTTATGTGCATGTCAGTTATATCCTATCCTGACATAATGTAAGAAGTGGCCATGATACCCATCATTAACATAGAGCTGTCTAGGCTGATAGATAGAACAGGATTGCTTAAAACCTTCCCACAAGGCAAAGGAAGCATCTTCCTCTACCTTGAAAGACATGCTTGTGTTCAGAGGGCTGCTTGAGACTTTATAATGTTAGGTCATTAGAGGTCACCATCTTCAGCTTGCTCCTAAAGTTGGGGCCGAGCCAGCTCGGCCAATAGACACTGCCTTTTTAAAACAACATATGGATTCCAACTATGGCATCTAGATTCTGAATCTTAGTAACTTCAGCTTTTGCATAAGAGTTTCTTATGTGTTAGGATGGCAATGGACTGCAACACTTGCATAGATAGAAACCTATCACACAAACCAAATATGTATGCAACTTTAAGGTTTGGAAAGAAGATGGTTTGAAAAGAAAGAAAAGGATTAGAGAGAGAAGTGCATAGGCAGCAGTGACTTCATGTCTGCTTATGAGAAGGTGACCAAGGCTAGAAATGTATTCCCTGTAAGATTCTCTTATATGGTGGTAGAAAAGGGGGGGGAGGAGAATTGTAGTACATCTAGCTTCACATAGTTGGTAATATGGCCCTTGGGTCTCTTCTCTGGAGCCTAGAATCAAGTGTATTCACTTTGACATGTGCCTTCATTTACCTGCTGAACCTGTGCATCTTCCTGCCAATAGATAATGGTAGCTTAGGCCTATCAGAGATCTACCTCTCCTACCCAAATGAACATACTCTGAAGTCCTGCCTGTCCAACTTCTCTTCCCTCTTTCATACAATATGACCCTTTTGCAGCAATATGACCCTGGATCATCTTCATTGGCTCATACAGGGAGTTGAGCACTTTTTCTGACAACTGACATTTTAGAAAGCCTCACCAACTCAAAAGCAAAATAATATTACAGTTTAAAAATAGAGAGTTGATTTTTTTTTTTGGTCTGACAAGTTAGGCCAGGTTTCACATGCCTACCCTGACAAGCTGCTATTGGGACTGAGGCTCAGTTAAAAATGCCTTGCTTCAGACCTTGGCCTTACAGACTACAAAATCAGAGCGTTTTAAGCACTTTTCCTATCCCCATATGGAATATAAGGAGCTTCTCCATAAAATAATATCAGTCCTTCAATTGGCCTTCTCCCTGTCAATTTAACACAATAAAAAATTCCAGCTTGAAACATAACCTGATTTCATCCATAACTAATACTTTTTTCCATAGGTGGAAAGCAACAGGCTGGAATGCTACTTCCTAAAGCCTGGAAATGATAGTTTTCTACCTGATGCAGAAAGTGAATTCATGAACTTGTACATTCCTTCTAATAGAAAAATCTTATTGCAAAGGAACGAGCTGTAAAAACTATAATTAAAAAAATTACATACTACCTCTTGTACACAATATACGGTTAAAATTGCAGGAAACTTCTTCAATGTTCAAAAACAAGAGCCCTTAAGAAATTATCATCGAGGGGCCTAAAGAAGTCACTGCCGCCCCCCTGGGAAAAAAAAAAGAGCTACTCGGCTGGCTAGGAAGATCAGCTAAATGCAGCTGTTACTTGCTAGTTTCACCTCGTTCCAGCCAAAACTAATACGGCATCAAGCTGGAATTCTTGCCTGGGAAAACCTGATGTTCAATTTCTTCACGTAGGCATAATTCTTTTCGCTAACTACTCTTGGGTATCAGTTGAGTCTGGACGAGCGTGACATAATTTGTTTCTGCGAGACGTCATCATAGCCAACTGCAAGGATCAGAAGGAGCATACCTAGCAATTTACGAGCACCTGGCTGTTGACGCAAGGTGCAACCTGTTACAGTCGTGACAGCGGCCATGACATTTATCAGGGTTGGAATAACCACTTTCTCATCTCTCCCGCGCGTATGATGGGGGTGCAGTGAGAGATGAAATTGAACCTATGAATAACTCTGTTTTCGAGTCATTTCAAAATATCCTTCATTGAGAGGAATGCATGGCATCTTGTATGATGTTGACAGTCTGCTCTGTCATCGGGCCTGACTGAAATGGCCTGTCCTGGCCATTTCAGTCTTTGAAATGACTGTCTACAGCTGAGCATTGGTCATCCAGGGCAAAGGAACATTTTGAATTCGCTTGGGGAAGTTGGCCCTCACTCATTTGGCTCAGCTGTTCAAATCCCAGACACAATCAAGCACACTTTTGTAAGTTTATCGGACACCTATGAGTAGATTCTAAGTGACCCAACCACATGGACACGAGGTACAATTCGATTAATATTAGACCACGTATGGACGTTACCTTTTCTAGGTTAGCGCTCCTCATAATTATCAGATGGTTAGTCGTTCTGATTGCAAGGTAGCGAAATGTTCATGAGGCATCTTACCTGATAGCCTTGGCATTGGCCAGGGCGGGGATGCTCTGTGCTGACGGAGGAGGGACTTCTTCCGCTGGTGGAGGCGCTTCAGGAACCTCCTTTTTAAAGGTTTCCCCGATTCTCTTTAATTGCTTCTCCAGCGCAGCCTTCATCTTGCTCCGAGTCGATAACACAACCTATTGTTTTCTCTCACTATCGTCTAGGCTTCTTTCGTTGCAGGTGAAATGCACTCGTGAAGGTATGGAGATTTCGTTACAATGACGGAATTCGAGTTCCACAGAGAGACGACGGGACACGTCCTCGCTCACAACGCATCCACGACAAGGCGACTGTCATTTCCAAACGTTTTTATCTCGCTCTCCCGATAAGGTGAAGCGCACTATCATCGAATGAAGACGTCATCCATTCTCTGACATTTTTCAATACAACGAGGAAGAGGGCAGTGTATTTGAGCTCGGTATAAGCCACTATATTCGCGCAATTGAACGCAGAGTTTTCATACTGTATATGGTCTGCGAGGAAAATGCCATTGAATGCAGAACTCGTGCTCCGTCTTCGTACCCGTCGCAGTCTGCGTATCACACTTTCGCCCCGTCTACTTTTTGTGAAAAAATTGCTTGCGTGCGTATGTACCATGGTGTCGTGAAAATGGCAGGGAGGGGAAGGTTTGATGGCAGGCTAGGACGAAAGAAAGCCAGGGGACGGCCGGGAATTATACAATAAGACGAGCCTCCTGATTGCCGGTAAGATGTGCTACCATTACACCAAACCCAGGACATTCATTCGTGCCTCCAATACTATCCTTATCATCAAAATAGGACATCGTGTAGATTCATCTATCGATCGGCTATATTTCCGATATTGTGGAACTCGATCGGTATTGCACCAACTAGCAAGGAGATCGGCAAACTGCAAAAGTTTTGGTCGAAATTACGTCTCGTCACTGTGGAACGTGGCTTCTCCCGACTCATCGTTTTGAAGGACAACACAGTTCTTATACTGACTTTAGGTGCAAGGGGGCACTTAATGTAACCTTTACAAAGACGTTGCCAAATGAGATCGGGAAATCTTCACTCACATTTTGTGTTTCTTCGCGAAGAAACTATATGTTATTCAAATCCTGCGACATAAGATGGTTAGCATAAAGGTGAACTGTGATTCGGATCCCTGGCAGCCCAGAAGTAGCAGACCGGTAATGGCAAGTAGAACATCCAGTAGATTGCCTACTACCTAGTGCAGGAGTGAACCGCCAGCTCCCTTCTCATAATGTATTTGGCACTCCCCCCGTAGCGTGCTACATGGTGCGATCCAAATGGAGTACCAAGAGTCCCCACCCGATGGTACTCGTGTTCCCTGGAGCCTTCAAATGCAATTAAGGACCTGCCTTCCTAATTTAGCAAAAATTTCCTTCCCCCTTTCCTCTTTTTATTGTGAAAGTTACGAGCAGATGAGGAAACGTGGGATTATGATGTTCTGATAGGGATGTATGGTTCGGGAAAATATTGACATTCGAGGCTGAGTGAAGGAATGTAGAAGTGTATGGGAATTGAGAAGTGTGGAGTGCATATGTTCTAATCTATCGTTCGACTTATGCACTTCATTTTCCAGTACTCGCATCCTCCTACTCATTCCCTCTGCGCCCTGAGTTTTGTCACGGGAGGGAAGCGAAGTGTGCAATGCACAGCATTGCACACTTCGCACAGTTGTGTCCCCTTAGCACATTAGAACTTCATAATTTAGAGTTGAATCGGATATGCATAGGGGCACCAGTTGGTCCTACAGCAGTGGCAGGTTGCCCTAGTCGAACATGAACTGCTATTTTTCGTCCACTATCCTTGAAACGTTGAATCCACCAGTAGACAATAATCTCAGACATGAGCTGTGCCACACACATTGCTTGCCGTCGATGGGACGATACTTGTAGTCGCTTTTATGTTGTGTATTTGAGGAATTTCTATCCCCACCCACGGCATTTACGCGTTAACGCGACTTTTCCGCACTTGGAAACGATTGCGTTGTTCCCTGGCGGAGAATTTTCCAAAAACCGACAGAAGGGCATTGTAAAAACTGTATTCTTACCAAGTTCCTCTTTCTAGTTCTAAGTTCCTCTGACGGGAACGTTTCCACCATGACTGGGTAAGGAATTATACGAGGTCTGATCAAAAAGTTAACGGAATTTCTTGTTAAAAAATAAACCGCTTTAGGTACGGGGCTAGAACTAGTGTAGGTGGGAGTGGGGGGTAGCCGCACGCTGAAGTACCTAAGCTAGACTAGCAAACGTGGTACCGATCTTTAAGAAAGGCGAAAAGAGTAATCCAGGAAATTACAGGCCGGTAAGTATCCCCACCCACGTTATCTTTAAGAAGAAACTAGATGCTTTCATGGACAAGCAAAAAGGCGGTGGGCAATGTTGACGTTAGGTACTAGACAGTAAGCAACTAGGTTACGCTAATAACAAAAAAAAGGCTTACCCTAAAGTTAAGGAACGCTCTACCTCGACACGTGACATCGAAATGGGTGAAATCGCCTCTTGATATCACTATCTTGAAATCTTGAAAATCTTGAAATGTTGAAGCCTCCTTTGCGCTAGGATTAACCAGTCGCGAATCATGATTATTGAACTCCGATCGTCTCTGGGCTCTTCGTCGAATTTTTGATATGCATCATGATACTGATGCATCATTACCTTGTCCCACAAGGCCAGACAGTTTACCAGGCTTACTACAAAGATGTTTTGACCCGTCTGCGAGAAAAAGTTAAGAGAAAACGGCCCCAACTTTTCCAAAATGAAGCCTGGTTTTTGCATCACGACAATGCTCCAGCCCACATTGTTCTCACAATTCGAAGGCTTTGGGCTAAAAAAAAATTCCTGTGTTGCCCCACCCTCCCTATTCACCGGACGTGGCTCCGTGTGACTCTTTCCTGTTCCCCAAGATTAAATTTCACCTGAAAGGAAAAAGATTTGAAGACATTGCAAGCATCAAGTAAAATTCGACGAGGCAGCTTAAGAGTCTTACAATCCAGGACTTCCAGCACTTCTTCCAGAAGTTCCAGGAGCGTTGGGATATGAGCATAGCTTCGAGGGGGGATTACTTTGAAGGGGGTAACTATTAATTGTAATGTACTTATTAAAAATAAAGTTTGCGAATAAAAGTACTGGAACTTTTTGATCAGACCTCGTATTGATAGCATAGGGTACGAAACGATTAATGAAATAAATAAATATTGATTTGATTTTCGGTCCAGCTCAGGGCCAATGAAGCCTATGCTTTTCCGGGTAGCAATGCCAGTATTGGTCCAGATTATGTACCAGTGAGGCAACGCTCTCCATCAGCATTACAGCAACCTAAGTTGAACAGTCCTGAAACGTTACTGCAACATAAGAAAACTTATGTGTAACGATATGCAACGTCAATGCAATGTTCTTTTGCAACATTCGAGGAACGTTGACGTTTTGGATATTCACACATTGAAGCAACATCGATCATCAACAATTCTTAAAATGTTGCTGGAAGGTTTTGTGTTACTTGGGAACCAACGATAACGGTAGTGCATCAGCTCGAAGAAAGTGACGAAGAAATGAAGCAGTCTCGTTCCACACTATGAAATTAACTGTGTTGAGGAAAAAGAATCCAGAAGTTGCATGCAACAAGTTAATCTTTCTTCTTTTTTTTTCCACTTAGAGCTGATACGTTCTCATTTTTTTTTAGCTACATTTGGGACCAAGATTTCCTATTCGAAAGACAGAACTTGAGAGATCCCAGCTTCTCTTTCGATTCCTCTCTGTCTAGTGAATTTCCTGTTTTATCTTCCTGGCTATAATTACAGCCACTCTGCCTAAGCTCCTATCTGATATGGTTGTTCTAGGCCAGCCACTGCCTTGCTTTTAATGAAAATTCATCCTTTCCAAAGCAAATCCAAGTTCCTGTCTGTTCATGAAGGAAATGCCAAGTAATGAAATATCAAGTACATAACGCATAATCTTCTTCGAATGAGAAATTCATAAATGCTGTATATCCTGTTTTGCACTACTTTTTGTTTAGTTGTGGTAGGGAGGGTTAACGTTTTTCGCCACCCTATACAGGTGGTTTAAGTGTAGAATTTATTGGTGTACGATACTTCCGGACAAAGTTTTTGGAGTGATGCTCCTTTTTTTGGGAACAACCTGTAACCCTCACTCACGGCCAGGGTCTGTGCTAGTGGATGAGGGGAGGGGGCAATGAGCGAAACTTCAGGTACATAACCCCTTCAAATATGTTGACCATTGGACTACTAGATGGAGATAGATCCGTCTCTCTGTTTTCCTCTTACCGTGACTATTGAGATTAATAATGTCTAGTATAGGTTTTCCTGACGAATTTTGGCTTAAGTCCTTTCAAAATCAGCAACGGCCGTTTCAATTTCGGCAGCGCTCCTCTCTCGTCCCTGTTTTCCCATTCAATTTCGGCAGGTGACTTTCGATTTCGGCATTCGCCATTTCAGTTTTGGCAGCGCAAGGGAATTTCCTGTTTTTGGTAATTAACATGGGCATGGGGAATAGGGAAGAAAAGGGCACAAACGCATAGGATATTTTCGGCGAATAATCATTATTTTATAATGCAAAGGAAAACACATGGACATTGACACTGATTCTATCCATCGATACGTTCTCCCCTTTGGCATCGGATTAAGTATGTTTGTGCATGGTGAAACCAAGCAAAGCACTTCTGATGGGTCATATGGGCATGTTCTGTCTGATTCAAGGAAGGAGAATATGCCAGCAGAAACTTCCCGTGAACGCTAGGAAAGCCATCTGGAACCGAGACCCGTATGTGGGGTCTAGCATTATCCACGATGGCAAGTTGCAACTGAATATTCGAAATCGACTACAACTTGCTCCAAGTCCTCCATGTAGGACGTATTCATGTTCGCTTCCCTGGTTGGAGTAATCTTATACAGCAAAGGAACAACAGGTGCGTGTCACATCTTCGAAATTTCAGGAATTCTTTGAGGAGCTCCTGAGACATGTACACATGATTTGGCCGTCAGATCAACCAGTTTATGTCATCATGGATAATGCTAGACCACACATACGGGTCTCGGTTCCAGATGACTTTCCTAGCGTTCACGGGAAGTTTCTGCCGGCATATTCTCCTTTCTTGAATCAGACAGAACGTGCCCAAATGACCCATCAGAAGCGCTTTGCTTGGTTTCACCATGCATAAACATACTTGATCCGATGCCAAAGGGGAGAACGTATCAATGGATAGAATCAGTGTCAATGTCCATGTGTTTTCCTTTGCATTATAAAATAATGATTATTCGCCGAAAATATCCTATG